ACAATTCTGTGTCTGTCCCTCAGTAACAATTCTGTGGTCTGTCCCTCAGTAACAATTCTGTGTCCCTCAGTAACAATTCTGTGTCTGTCCTCTCAGTAACAATTCTGTGTCCCTCAGTAACAATTCTGTGTCCCTCAGTAAACAATTCTGTGTCCCTCAGTAACAATTCTGTGTCTGTCCCTGAGTAACAATTCTGTGTCTGTCCTGTTTCTGAGTAACAATTCTGTGTCTGTCCCTTGAGTAACAATTCTGTGTCCCTCAGTAACAATTCTGTGTCCCTCAGTAACAATTCTGTGTCCCTCAGTAACAATTCTGTGTCTGTCCCTCAGTAACAAATTCTGTGTCTGTCTGTGTTCCCTCAGTAACAATTCTGTGTCCCTCAGTAAACAATTCTGTGTCTGTCCCTCAGTAACAATTCTGTGTCTGTCCCTCAGTAACAATTCTGTGTCCCTCAGTAACAATTCTGTGTCCCTCGGTAACAATTCTGTGTCTGTCCCTGAGTAACAATCTGTGTCTGTCCCTCAGTAACAATTCTGTGTCCCTCAGTAACAATTCTGTTTCCCTCAGTAACAATTCTGTGTCTGTCCCTGAGTAACAATTCTGTGTCCCTCAGTAACAATTCTGTGTCCCTCAGTAACAATTCTGTGTCCCTCAGTAACAATTCTGTGTCCCTCAGTAACAATTCTGTGTCCCTCAGTAACAATTCTGTGTCTGTCCTTCAGTAACAATTCTGTGTCTGTCCCTCAGTAACAATTCTGTGTCTGTCCCTCAGTAACAATTCTGTGTCCCTCAGTAACAATTCTGTGTCCCTCAGTAACAATTCTGTGTCTGTCCTGAGTAACAATTCTGTGTCCTCAGTAACAATTCTGTGTCCCTCAGTAACAATTCTGTGTCCCTCAGTAACAATTCTGTGTCTGTCCCTGAGTAACGTTTCTGTGGCCCTAACTCTCTCCCTCAATACAGCCAGGTCTGCCTCTCTTGAATGACTGGAGGTAAATGGAGAATACTAAAATGGCCGCAATTTATAGCTCGACCATTACACAGTGCTGGCTGGCTGGCTGCTGATTGGCTAATGCGATCACATGTCATGAATGAATGCATTATGGGTCAGCGCACCTTGTCTGCGCGCCTTCCCAGAGATCCCCGCTCCGTCGCCGCACATGTCGCCGCCATTTTTGGAAAAATTTTGATTCGCGCATCCGAAGTCTGCTAATTTTCGGATTCGTCGCGAATCAAAATTTTCCTAATATTCGAAACGAATTCCACTTCGCCAAGTTCGATTCGCTCATCTCTACTGAAGATGTTCTAATCCTTCTTCACTCAAAACAGTAAAAGTTTGGCCTTATTTACCATAATAATATTTAGGCTACATAGAATAGTCATAGCAATGCCTCAAACTGGCCTTCCTCCAGTGACAGTGGTCCAATTTTATATAAGTTCATTTTTTTAAGGATTTATATGGAAAGTGCTCAAGAGAAATGTAAACACATAAGCTATATTTTATGTCTGTGCTGTGTATAAAATATTCAGCAGTAATTTGCTGTAGCTGAAAGAGTTCGGATTTGTTAGATGCTTGCTGTGATATAAGAACAGCTGCCAGCAGCCTCAATACATTTTGGGTGATTAATTGCCGTTGGATCTGCTGACACAGAACCTAATAAATTTGGAACAATTACTTTGGGTCTTGTGGTCTAGGCAGACACTATGCAATTACAATTGGCTGTGTCCCTCTGTTTCTGAAACAAGTTAGCTAATGACCTTTTTAACAACTTTCTGCCTGACAGTTTGTTTAGCCATCTCACCAAGAATAAACCTCTGATTTCTGAAGTTTAGGTGAGACATACCCAACTGGGACAGGGGCCTTTGGAGGGAACTGCAGGCTTTCCTACTGACCATGGGCCCTGGCATTTGAAGGGGCTCTATTCTTTTGGAAGTGTGTGCCTGCGGGTGACCTTTGTATTATTTTTTCAGATTCAAGTCCATGTCTCCCCAAAACATACAGACTCTGAGAGCTGGAGAACCCAGGTAGAGATTTGGGGTCTCTGTGCCCAAACCAGCATTGACTGCTTCAACCCCCTCCTAGTTTCACAGACTCAGAGCAGATGCTAATATAACCAGCTCAAAACAACCAGATGCTGAGGTCTTCTGCTGTAATCTGTTTATTAAGGCGTGATGTGTTTACTGTTGTGTCTTTCTCCCATTGTTAATTGAGTTGAGTCACCTATTGTTTCTGTCTGTTGGCTAATTCTTCTGGAGGTTCCTACATGATGGGATTAGTCTCATTACCTTATCATTGTATGATATTTATCCCAATGTGTAATATTTGTTTTATTGTTCATGTGGGGACTGTCTCTAATTCTACAGTGTTTAAAAACCTGTGTTTCTGTTTGAAATAGTAGTTCCTGTTTGCACCTAAGCTAGTGTTGTCTATTCTTGGGTGCAATGCCCAGCTATCACACCTTGTTCCTGTGTTCCAGCAATGAGGAAGCAGCTCTCTGACAGAAGCACCTAGAGAGGGTGCCAAGAGGTCTGTCACAGTGAGAATTTACCTATTGCTACTTACTGTACATCAATTATTTCAGTGCCATTAGCACTGGAAAAAAAATTCCTCAAATGTAGGTGTCAGAGATGCAGGTGTGTGACCAGAAGTGTGTGGACTGACACAGGGAAACATAGGCTTCAGATATAGTAAATAATATAATTTATTAAGACTAACAATACAACGCAGTGCAAAACTAAACATAACACAGTGCAAACAAACTGAACCAAACCTCCAACAGATAACAAACATACGATACAAGAGTAGTCAGGCAGGCCGGGTCGGTAGCAAACGGGCAAACGGAGTACCAGGAGCAGGCGGGAGAGTGGTCAGGACTAGCCGAGGTCAGTACAGACAGAGTTCAGGCAGCGTCAGGACAGCAGAAACAGGATCAGGAAACCAGGGCCATGCATACAGTACAACAAGGCACAGACTGCAGGTCTGGCCATCCCTTAAATACACCGCCTGCAATCAGCCCCAGGTGATGGCTAATTGCCGAAGTGAGCCTCTGGTTGTTGAGAGCACCCGCTGGCCAGCCCTGGTACTGCAGCCCACAAGGCAGGTGAGTCCCACCACTATTGGCAAGTTCTATTCCTGACAGTAGGTCACATAGTGTTCAAAGCCATTGCGAATCCACCCTTGTGACTATTAACCTCCCTGGCGGTATGATTATTTCAGATTTTTGGTGCTGAAAGCGGTACCATTATTTTGCATGAAAATTTGGCGTTTTATATTGTAGGCCTGTAATTTTTAGGAATAACTCACTGAAATCTGTCCGAACAAGAGTCTAGTAAACATTCCAGGTAGAATAAAACTTGAAACACGAAATCATAAATTATAATTTAATAAATAATCATAAAAAAATAATAATATAATAATAATAATAAAAAATGTAATTCAATAATATAATCAAACCAAAAACACTGAAATTTTAAAGTTCGCACATCACTGAGCTCAGTTGCAGAATCGTTTTCAGTGTCTGGTGATGAATTTTCCCACAAATCATCAATCAATTCTGCAAGTAGTTCTGATTTACTATCGCTGTTTTCTAGCTGGTCTAAAACCGCTTTTGACCTAAAGTGACGCTAAGTTTCCAGGCAGAAAGAACAATCAAAATGCAGGCAGGGCACAGGACAAAGCAGTAGGGACAAAATGTATGTGAAATGCTTTGAAAGAGTAATGTTTTACTATGTAATTTTTGTTTATTAGAAAATGCCAGTTTCTAAAATTTCTAAATTTGCCGCCGGTTCCGGCCCCCGTACATCCCGTATGTCCCGACGCTCGCAGGGACCGGAACACGGAAGCCAGATGCCGGCATTGGCCGGAGGAGATGGCCGGGGACGCTGCAGGGGACGCATCGCGGGAGCGAAGGACAAGGTAAGTGCTGTAGGGAATCCCTGTGCAACGCCGCATGGTAAGCCCAAGTGTAGCTCAGGGATACCACTTCTGGTACTGAAATTTTACCCCCGAGCTACACTCGGGAATACCGCCAGGGAGGTTAAGAATCAACCGAATTAATTAGGAGTTAACCCATGATTGTTTGTCACGGACCAATTAAAGGGTGACCAATTACTCAGGCAAAACCAAGCACAGTACAGAATTGCTAGGCACAGGCAGATAAGTACCGTATATACTCGAGTATAAGCCCGAGTTTTTCAGCACATTTTTTGTGCTGAAAAACGGCCCCCTCGGCTTATACTCGAGTCAACGTCTGCAGGGGGCTGCTGTCTCTTGCATAAAAGTGGCCACCTGCCCAAGTCTATAACTGGCTTATGAAGCAAGGACACATAAACAGGCATCACATAGTGAAAAAAGAGGGAGAGAACAATGTTCTTGGACAACTTGCCAGCCAGCTTGCTAACAACCGAATTAACCTGTCTAACAGTATGCGTTTATAACAGGGGTTTAGTTAGCACACATTTGCAAATACATACGTAAGCCACAGAGCCACGACACGGCACCCTGATCATCTGTGGTCCTAACTCTAAAATTTGTGAGTCCCCATAGTAGAGGCACATGCATTTAATGGATAGATCAAGGGCAGGTGGACCTGAGGGAGCCACCCCTCTTAAAGGCAAAGGAGCGCACTGGACCCCAGCATGTAGCACAATGGCAACCAGGGTCCTAGTGCACCCACGTACCAAAAAATCAAACATGCATAAAAGTGGCCACCCGCCCAAGTCTATAACTGGCTTATGAAGCAAGGACACATAAACAGGCATCACATAGTGAAAAAAGAGGGAGAGAACAATGTTCTTGGACAACTTGCCAGCCAGCTTGCTAACAACCGAATTAACCTGTCTAACAGTATGCGTTTATAACAGGGGTTTAGTTAGCACACATTTGCAAATACATACGTAAGCCACAGAGCCACGACATGGCACCCTGATCATCTGTGGTCCTAACCTGGCTGCTGTCTCTTACCTGGCTCCGGTCCCACGACGATCCGGTCCAGGAAGCGCGGCTGCTCCTTCATTCGGGTCGTCCACTGGATGTTCGCGCAGCTGCTCGGCTCCGCCTTCTCACCGGTGATTGGCCGCCAGAACTGTAGCTCAGGAAAGGCACACAGGCGGCCAATCACCGGCGAGGAGGCGGAGCTGAGCGGCCCCGCGAAAATCGAGTGAAGGAGATGCAGGTAAGTGTGCCGTGCTTAGGTGCTGCTGCAACCACATATGCTGGCTGCAGCAGCACCATACTGGAACAGGGGTCAGCAAGTGTCAGTGGGAGGAATAGTGCCCCATCATTGGTGTCACTGATACCAATGATGGGGCATTATTCCTCCCACTGACACCAACGATGGGGCACTTTTCCTCCCCCCCACTGACACCAACGATTGGGCACTATTCCTCCCCCCCCCCACTGACACCAATGATGGGGCACTATTCCACCCCCCACTGACACCAATCATGGAGCACTATTCCACCCCCCACTGACACCAATCATGGGATACTATTCCTCCCCCCCACTGACACCAACGATGGGGCACTTTTCCTCCCCCCCACTGACACCAACGATGGGGCACTATTCCTCCACCCCCCCCCACTGACACCAATGATGGGATACTATTCCTCCCACCGACACCAATGTTGGGACACTATTCCTCCCACTGACACCAATGATGGGACACTATTCCTCCCACTGACACCAAAGATGGGGTACTATTCCACTGACACCAATAATGGGGTGCTATTCCCCCCACTGATACTAATGATGGGGCACTATTCCTGCCACTGATACCAATGATGGGGCACTATTCCTCCCACTGACACCAATGATGGGGCGCTATTCCTCCCACTGACACCAATGATGGGGCACTATTCCTCCCACTGATACCAATGATGGGGCACTATTCCTCCCACTGACACCAATGATAAGGCACTATTCCTCCCACTGATACCAATGATGGGGCACTATTCCTCCAACTGACACCAATGATGGGGCACTATTCCTTCCACTGATACCAATGATGGGGCACTATTCCTCCCACTGACACCAATGATGGGGCACTATTCCTCCCACTGATACCAATGATGGGGCACTATTCCTCCCACTGACACCAATGATGGGGCACTATTCCTCCCACTGATACCAATGATGGGGCACTATTCCTCCCACTGACACCAATGATGGGGCACTATTCCTCCCACTGATACCAATGATGGGGCACTATTCCTCCCACTGACACCAATGATGAGGCACGATTCTTCCCACTGGTGTTCCCACCCTCGGCTTATACTCGAGTCAATAGTTTTTCCCAGTTTTTTGTGGTAAAATTAGGTACCTAGGCTTATATTCGGGTCGGCTTATACTCGAGTATATACGGTAGTCTGACAGAATGAAGGCCAAGACTGAGAGCAGGCAAAAGCCTGCAGAGAAAAACAAAAGCCTGTAGAGAAAACAAAGACGTTTCCATATTGATCCACAGAGAATCCTGTGACTCTTCTTTGCAGGTCCCTCATTAATCCCCTTCCCCCCCAATTCTCAACCTCAACAGTTCTGATGTTGTGGTTAACAATAAATGTAAAGAGAAGGTAAATTAAAGAAAACATAAAATGGCCAAGGAAACATGGGCTTTAATCTGGCTGTTGCAAGTAGCCTCTCTTCCCCTGTAAGAGCCATGATAAAAATGTCTTATATGTAGCATGAAATATTCAGTAAAGTTTTTCATTTTTCTTTCGGCAACTGTATAAAATGATTATTACTATCAAACAGCAGAAACCCCCTCACACAGACTGCTATCAATGATCTTCAGCGGAAATATTTGACCACACTCTTTTTGCATACTGTGCTGTATTTTCTAGTTAACCTACCGAACACATAAATCAGAACTATCATGTTCAATTCAAAAGTCATTTGCTGGAAAGCAGGAAAGAATTCATATCCCCTTCCCACTAGATAGAATTTGTAAAGGTCTATCTAAGCTTAATGTTTAGGAAATTGATATGACCACTGTTCTGGCTCCAGTGTTGGAATTAGGAACTGAATATTACAAATGTACTGACAAAAGTATTGGTTCAGCTGCCATCTGTTTGAAAAATGAGAGCTCCTAATATTTAATGAGAAGTAAATCTTTAAATTAAATAGATTTGCTCTATAATACTGCATGTAGTGCTAGCTCTGGAGGAACTGCTTGGTTCTCTGTTACTTGACTTGACTCTGGGATCAACTTCAGCCCCTCTGACACACCAGGTTAAGCAAGTAACCTTGCTTAACCTGGTTTTAAGCACACATATAAAAATTCTGCACAGAACTATAATTCCATTTCAGAAGTCAGACACAAGACTGATTAGTGAAAGCAGAACTTGGTGTATTGTTGTAGGCTACAGAAAATGGCAATATGTTCATAAATGAGCAAATAGAGAATTTAGTTAACCACAACGTATTAGACAGTAAGATCACTAGTTTGTAGCAGTTTGGTTTGTGGCTCTGTGTATTTAAATTGATCTGTATCTGGTAACCCTCCAATCAGCATAAATCAATGTCATAGATAACATTAACCACCATAGTAAAAGATGCTCTGACAGCCTTCCTGACATCAGTGTGCTATACTACTAGAGTGCACTCTAGGAATGACTGCTAACTCTCAAGTCTCACTTCAGGGGAACCCCTTCCCTAGGCAACAAATGGAGCAGCTATCTAAAGAGACAGTCTTTTGCCCTTGTTCTTCAGCTGGCTTAGGTTGGGGCCCAGTCTTTATTATGGTACGCATAGGTATAGTCCAGTAAAGCCTGCAAGCTTGCTGCAATTTCAGTCCTCAGTACACCAGACTACATCACTCCAGTACCTGTGCAGCAAGAGATTGTATCCCACAATGACTTAGTCCTTTGTCTCTGCTTGTTTGGATTCTTTCTCTCTTTGGCCCCAGGTTATAGGGCCCCAATCCCCATTCAGTCTGTTGGCTCATATGGGTAGGTGCACCTCCAGACAGGGAGATGTTCTCTCTCCAGTTTCCTCGTGGGCCAAGAGGAAGTCAGTTTATCTGCAGCCCAGGAAAAAAGCCTCTGTCTCTACCCTTATCGCTTTCTCTCTCTGGGAGTTGTATTCTAATGGTCCATAGAAGTCTACAACATGGTTCCCCTCGAACTTTAACGTCCACCTTCCAATGCTGCTAGTATAGAAGTCTATGGAGCTCCTTTAGCTTGCCTTCTCCTCCTGCTGGCAGGAGGCAGACAGTGTTCTTAAATTCACTATGTCAATTCGGTCGTATTTTACAGAGCCGCTGTAAACAGTGTCATATCTGGCTATCTGTAACCAGGTATCTGGCTACAAGCACACAGGTAAAAATCTGAAAATCATATAAAAAATGACTTCCGTGTAACTGTTAGACTAATATCTCACAATGTGTTCTCATAATAACTAAAGGTCAATCACTTTTGAATCTGGAAGCAGAGATAAAAACATGAAATAATGCAGTTATGTATTCATTCAAGAAAAGCTTATGTCTGATTAAAGCTGCAATTATTTGTATTACATACTTACATTGGTCCAGCTTGGCACTATGTAAGTATGCAATACCTATAACTGATGGACCACTGCAGAAGCTGGAAATCAGTATAGTAGTCAGTGCTACTCCAGTGATAGCCACAATCTTCAAGGTTTTCTGCTCCCCCACTGCACACTGGCCATACAGGGTTGCGCACTTGGCATTGCTACCATTTATAGAACAGTTTTTATTATTTTTAATAAATACAATGCATTCTCCTATTGAACTAGGTGGAGATTGTTATGTCATCACCCATCCTCCCCAAGTAGTTTAATCAGAGATGCCTCTGATTGGCTGGGGCTGTGAATGCTTACTAGCAGCCTTTAGATCAGCGGTTCTCAACCTGTGGGTCGTGACCCCTTTGGGGGTCGAACAACCCTTTCACAGGGGTCTCCTAAGACCATCGGAAAACACATATTTCCGATGGTCTTAGGAACCGAGACACCGCTCCTCTATCAGTCTCCAGGCGGGTCCGCCCACATGCAGATACGTCCACATTTCCCTGGACCGCGATGTGTGCGCGGGATGACATGCCACCCCTGTCATCTGGCCACATCCCCGGGATCACTCAACAGCTCCGCCTCCTCGCCAGTGATTGGCCGCCAGAACTGTAGCTCAGGAGAGGCACACAGGTGGCCAATCACCAGCGAGGAGGTGGAGCTTGGAGAAGAGGAGCCGAGCAGCAGCGCGAAGAGCAAAGAAGATCGAGCGAGGGAGCGGCCGGAGAAGGAAGACAGCAGACAGGTAAGCGTCTGTAGCGTGCAGATGGTGCTGCTGCAGCCAGGTATGCTGGCTGTAGATGGGAGAGGGAGGGAGCGAGCCCAGGCTGGAGCAGGAGTCAGCAAGGTAAGTATCATTGGTGTCAGTGGGAGGAATAGTGCCCCATCATTGGTATCATTAATACCAATGATGGGGCATTATTCCTCCCGATGACACCAATGATGGGGCACTATTCCCCCCCCCACTGACACCAACGATGGGGAACTATTCCTCTCCCCCCACTGACACCAACGATGGGGCACTGTTCCTCCCCCCACTGACACCAACGATGGGGCACCATCCCCCCCCACTGACACCAATGATGGGGCACAATTCCCCCCCACACTAGTATCAATGATGGGGCACTATTCCCCCCCCCCCACTGACACCAATGATGGGGCACTATTCCTCCCACTGACACCAACAATGTGGCACTATTCCTCCCACTGATACCAATGATGGGACACTATTCCTCCCACTGACATCAGTGATGAGGTACTACTCCTCTCACTGACACCAATGATGTGGCACTATTCCTCCCACTGCAAAATTACAGTTATGAAGTAGCAACGAAAATAATTTTATGGTTAGGGGTCACCACAACATGAGGAACTGTATTAAAGGGTCGCGGCATTAGGAAGGTTGAGAACCACTGCTTTAGATGGACACACAGAACCACGGTCTCTATGCGATTTTTCTAATCTCTTTAATAAACTGCTCCTTCATTCATAAATGTAAAAGTTCACTCAGAGCTGTGGCTCTATGTAATGTATCTGTGGCTGCTTTTACTTCATACAAGACACCGGCAGATACATTACACTCTGATTGATACGTAAACTCTGATTGATCTTTTACTATTTTGAAAGAACAAGCTCATCGATAAGATCACTCAGCTTAGAGAGGGAGCAGTGCTGCACTGGCTGTACTTCCCTCCCCAGAAACGCCCATTATTTGGGCTTCAGAATGGGGTGGAGCTGCAGGCAGCATACAGAGGTGAATTTAGGAGATAATCAGGGCCAACAATCACAATGGGACCTGGTTTAACATGCACTTAGTCCAATGAGGAAATAAAAACAATTTTAACATTTTTCTCGAGGATTAAGAACAGATTTAGCAAGTACAGGACTTTCCTGTTGATCTTTTTCAGAGATGCCTTTTCACATCCTGTGATCTGAACTGAAAGCACAAAGATGCCTGTCATTACTGTGTAAACGACTAATCCTATCAATCCTCTAAGTGATGGAGACAAACAAATACACATGTTTGAAGTTCAGCCTGGGTGACCACCATGGCTCCTATCATAGATACACAATTGATGGTGAAATGAGTGTAGACATGAAGGGAAAGGAAGTGTGTTATTTGCAGGATCACTAGGTGATTACATTTTTGTTTTTGGTTTTAGATACACATCTAAGTACTGGCTAACTGCAATATATTACATTTTTGTTTTTGGGTTTAGATACCCTTTAAAGCTAAACTCCAACCAGGTCTTTCTCTTTTGTACTGAAAGTGCTTAATTGTGATTTTTCTTCACATTATGGGCTTCTCACAGTGTGCAATAGAAGCTGCAGCAAAGTCAAATCAAGCCTGCCTAGATTTCCTGGCTTGCGCCAGCATCATCTAGCTCTTTCCTCCCAGGATTTACTATTCTTGACCTACCCCTTTCAATCATGAAGGCTCAGCATCTCATGTGGGATTTACCTAGAGCAGTCTGGATTTGAGTGCAACCTACCAAGGAATGCACACTGCTCCAGACTGACATCCATCCATCAAACCATTTTTATATTAGGAAAACCCTAAGAAGAGACATCCCACTGCTTGCATCTGGGTATAGGGTCATTGAGAAAAGTTTTGAGGCTGAGTGCTGTGGGCACCACTTGCCATTTTCGTCCACCAGTCATGAGTTGCCTGCATTGCATAGGGCAGCATACAGACCCAGTGATGACACCACCAGCTCTACGGTATGGTACAAAACAAAAAGGTTCTATTAAAAACATGGTATTATCATGTCAATTAAGAAGGAAAGGAGGAACCAGGGAAGGCAAAATATAAGCAGATTTACCCTGAGAATTACCCATATATGGGGTTAGAACCATGACACTGCTCTTTAAATGAAAGCTAGACAAAACACAAAATTCTGTATTAATTATGTTAAAGGAATAACTGTAACTATACCTTGTACAGTTGCAAGAAAAAGTATGTGAACCCCTTGGGATTACGTGGAGTTTTGCATGAATTGGGCATAAAATGTGCTCTGAACGTCATCTAAGTCACAACAATAGAAGAACACAGTCTGCTGAACATAATACTACACAAATATTAGATGTTGCCATGGTTTAATTGCACATAACATGTAAACATTCACAGTGCAGGGAGGAAAAAGTATGTGAACCTTTGGACTTAATAACTGGTTGACCCTCCTTTGGCAGCAATAACTCAACCAAACGTTTCCTGTAGTTACAGATCAGACCTGCACAACAATCTGGAGTCATTTTGGACCACTCCTCTTCACAAAACTGTTTCAGTGTAGCAATATTCTTGGGATGTCCGGTGTGAATCGCTCTCTTAAGGTCATGCCACAGCATTTCAATCGGGTTGAGCTCAGGACTCTGACTGGGCCACTCCAGAAGGCGTATTCTGTGCTGTTGCAGCCATTGTTTTGTTGAATTACTTGTATGCTTTGGGTCATTGTCCTGTTGCATCACCCATCCTCTGCGGAGCTTCAGTTGGCGGACAGATGGTCGTACGTTTTCCTGCAAAATGTCTTGATAAACTCTGGAATTCATTTTCCATCAATGACAACAATCCAGCCCAGGCCTGAGGCAGCAAAGCAGCCCCAAACCATGATGCTCCCTCCGGCATGTTTTACAGTGGGGATGAGGTTTTGATGTTGGTGTGCTGTGCCTTTTTTTTCTCCACACATAGTGTTGTGTGTTCTTCCCAAACAACTCAATCTTGGTTTCATCTGTCCACAGTATATTTTGCCAGTAGTGCTGTGGAACATCCAGGTGCTCTTTTGGAAACTTCAAACGTGCTGCAATATTCTTTTTGGACAGCAATGGCTTCCTTCGTGGTGTCCTCCCATGTACTCCATTCTTGTTGAATGTTTTCCTTATTGTAGATGTGTCAACAAAAATGTTAGCATGTGCCAGAGATTTCTGTAGGTCTTTAGCTGACACTCTGGGATTCTTCTTTACCTCATGCAGCATTCTGCGCTGTGCTCTTGCTGTCATTTTTACAGGACAAACACGCCTAGGGAGAGTAGCAACAGTGCTAAACTTTCTCCATTTGTAGACAGTCTGTCTTACCGTGGACACATGAACATCAAGGCTTTTGGAGATACTTTTGTAACCCTTTCCAGCTTCATGCAAGTCAACAATTCTTGATCGTAGGTCTTCTGAGAGCTCTTTTCTGCAAGGCATGGTTCACATCAGACAGTGCTTCTTGAAACCAGTAAACCCAAAACAGGTGTGTGTTTTTTAAGGGCAGGACAGCTGTCAGCAACACATCCAATATCATCACACTGATTGGAGTCAAGGTTGGCTCATTCCTGGCTCCAATTAGCTCTGGGAGAAGTCATTAAGCTAGGGCCTCACATACTTTTTCCTCCCTGCACTGTGAATGTTTACATGTTATGTACAATTAAACCATGGCAACATCTAATGTTTGTGTAGTATTATGTTCAGTAGACTGTGTTTCTTCTATTGTTGTGACTTAGATGACGTTCAGAGCACATTTTATGCCCAATTCATGCAAAACTCCACGTAATCCCAAGGGGTTCACATACTTTTTCTTGCAACTGTATTTGGATATGTTTTGGTCTAGAAAAGCTGAGCACACCAGGTTTGTCCCTACTATAACCCCAACGGCTATTGTGTCTGAGACAATTCCAACCATTACAGACCAGGTGATCTGATCCAATGCTGGACACACTTAGCTGGAAAAAAGCAGTGCTTATGACTGAGATTTACACTTTTTAAACCTGCATTTTACACATAAAATATACAGTACACATAACCTTGTATAACTGTAAGCTTTCTCATGACATGTGCTTTGACTGCATATCTCGTTTAAACTACCTAAAAATTCATCTTTGTCCCATAACATGTCACCGGAAAATATCCACCCATCTTTCATAAGATGAATGGAAATCTACTCTGGGGCTAAGTACCATTTAGCTAATTAGCTACTGAGACACAGGTGCTTGTGTACTTTTGCATTAAACATAACCATATGTTCAGATTTGACAACCGCTACCTTGGGCAAGAGCTACCAAGATACAGGGATGGCTTTAATATTTATTAAAGAGCACCAAGAAGAAAATTTGACTCAATAAATAAGGCAGTGCAAACAACCATTATTATTATACAAGATTTATATAGCGCCAACAGTTTGCTCAGCTACAACCATAATGATATGCCTGGGTTTTCCTGACAGCCATTCAAAAATGGTATCATTTCCTTTTTCATATGGCTGACGTAAACTGAAAACTAATGGGCTTCTATGCAAAATTGTCTTCTTGAGGAAGCCTGTTTGTGCTATTGATAATGGTAACCCACTCATTAGAGAAGCCTATCTGTGCCATGGATTACACTTTTCTACATTTCTCATTATAGAAGCCTATCTCCCCCATGGATTATGGTAACCCACT